ACTTGCTCTGCTGCCACTTTTAATCTATAAGTTGAAATTTTCTTGTCCTACATTCACTGATGCGCAGTTTTTCCAGACTCCTGGCTTTACATTGGGACTTGAGTTCATTCATTACATTTAATGGGCTATAGGTCATGCTTCATATGCCCAAATGAGCATTAAAAGTTCAAGTTGTAGAGACTATATCTAGCTTTGCTTGTAATTTTCCAAATTTGCCACAATGTAACCTCTTATTTCCAAATTATGCCTTAGTTTTATGCTCTTAGTGTTTTTTTTATTTTGTTATTCTTTTAATCTCAGCTATATTTTAAAATTTGGGTATTGTATTTCATCTTATAGTTCTAGGTATCTATAACATTGGTATGGGTTGAAGGAAGGGGTTCCCCTGAAGCTTAGTCTTTATTTCCCAGAAACCGTATTGTCCTAACTGGGTTGATTGTATTTAGGAAGGCTTTTCACTTGATATATACTGGATGGGGCAAAGGTAGGTTTACAGTTGTTTATATGGAAAATAATACAATCCTATATAATAAAAGCCTAATATGATAAGTGTCCACTTGTCAGGTCGGCCATTCAACCAATCAAAGCATAATATGCTAATGCTATGCTAAGGCCGCTCAACTTCTCACTATGATGTGCACTGACCACTAGGGGGCAGACAGTCAACAGGTCGACCAGTCACTATTACGTGCACTGACCACCAGGGGGCAGACGCTCCGACCGGTAGGTTAGCTTGCTTCTGGAGTCTGGCCAATTGGGTGGACCGGCACGCTCTGGAGCCCTCCCATGATCCCTCCCCAGCTAGCCAACCTCCTGCATCCCTCCCTGGCCCCAATTGTGCATCGGTGGGGTCCCTCAGCCTGGCCTGTACCCTTAAGCAATCTGGGCTGAGGGATCCCCCCACCCCGAGTACACGAACTTCCTGCACTAGGCCTCTAGTAATAAATAATTAATAATACAAGGATAAACTTTCATTAATGCACAACTGTAAACTTTTGTCCCACCCTGTATTAGTATTATAAATATTTACTGTAATGGGTTATGCCATTTATAAAGCTTTTATGTTGTTTGTTTGGGGGGGGGAAGTGTCAGGTATAGGCAAAAGTCATGTTATCCAAAAACATTGACACTTTTGCCTCCATAAATTAGACTTGAAATTTTTATAACTCATTTTCTTTAATTACTCTTGTTAATTTCTCCAGTGAACATTTCTGTATTGTTCCTTGCTTTTATTTGAATTGCATACTTTTTAGAAGAATTTTTAAAATGTTTTACAGCTATTAATTTTTCATACATGACTTAACTATCTCAGTTTGCATATTCACTAAGAAATTATAGTGCAATTTTTATATATGACATCATCAAAATGTTATTCTAAGAGTACCGAATACCTTTCTCCAAGAACATGTATGCATATTTTACTCAGTTCCTTAACATGTTTGTAAAGTATTCTGGTGGTACAAAGCTGTGCCTTTTGTGACTAGATTTAATTTTTCTGTAATGTAAAATTTCATTTCATTTCTAGCTTCCTATACAGTTTAAATTTCCTGTAACCTTTGTGGGTAGTGATACTTACTATTTTACATGTTTTGTTTTGAATGTATTTAACTCCAGCCTGCTTCAGCTCAGATATATGAACTCAAATTTCAGTCTTGCAATTTTGTGTTAGAATTGCCACAAAATTAAAAATTTTTAGGATTATTGTTTATTTTTCTATACAATATTATATTAGTTTCAGGTGTATATCCCATGATTAGACATTCTAAAACTTACTAAGTGATCATCCCGAGAAAGCTCATACCCATCTGACACCATACATAATTATTAGAGTATTATTGACTATATTCTCTATGCTGTACTCTACACCCTCATGATTGTTCTTTACTTATTTGTACTTCTAAATCCCTTCACCTATTAACCCATTTCTCCAACCCCCTTCCCATCTGGCAACTGTTAAAATCTTTGTTAGTCTACTTCTTTGCTGCTTGTTCGTTTATTTTGAATTTTAAATTAAATTGTTGATAGTTATGTATTTATTGCCATTTTATTCATATTTTTATCTTTTCTTTTTCTTAAAGAATACCTTTTAATAATCTATGAAATACTGGTTTGGTTTTGATGAAATCCTTTAGTTTTTTCTTGTCTGGGAAGCTCTTTATATGTCCTTTGTTTTTAAGTGATAGCTTTGCTGGATAGTGTAATCTTGGTTGTAGGTCCTTGCTTTTAAAAATTAAAATTTTTTGAGTGAAAGCTTGTTACCTGCAGCCTATACATTCTACTATACATGAATTTCCTTCTTAACTGGCTCCAGCAATTGTGCTCTTCTCTTTGATACTGTATGCATAAAACTAGTTAAAATAGCAAATTTTATGTCCCTTTACTCCATGCTACACCTTCCTCTCCCCACATAGCTCAGGTAGTTACATTTACCAAACATAAGAGTCAGTTGTTGATAGATATGTACTTATTGCCATTTTATTGTTCATAATTTTTATTGGAATTGAGTAACTATAGAGGATGTTATCTAAGAGCACAGTCTTAGGAATCAAATAGACCTGAGTTTGAATATTGATTGTTTTGTTTAATAACCTATATTTATCCTTACAATAAGTTTAAAAATATTTTTAAGTTAGTTTCCACTTCTGTGAGGTGAATGTGATATACTTACTTCACAGGGTTGTTGTGAGGATGAAATAGACTAATGCACGTGAAGCACTTTTATTAGTTCCCGACACATATAAAGTGCTTAAGAATTGGTAACTATATTTGTTGCTGTTATTTAATTTAAAGGTAGTATGTTTACTCTTCTTTGGTAACTTAGTCCTTTGTCTTGGAATGGCTTAGAGACTAGTTTTAGGAGAACTATCGAAATGTATTTTGTATTAAGTGGGGATATTTATCCTTTGAAAATAGTTTAATGATCCTCCCAATTTTTGCTGTATGGATTAACCTGAAATTAAGTGTATAATATAAAGTTAGAAAAACAGAATTCTGGAACAATTTTTAAAATAATTAGACATATCTTAATATATTAGCTTGACTTCCTTATTTTTTTTTAATTTTTAAACGGGGTTTTAGATTTTTAAAGTTTCTCTTAGATATATTTAATGACCACTTGAGAATTTCTGGCCTATTTTAATGTCAGTGCAGTAGACATTGTGTTATAGTAGTAGGAGTATTAAGTTGAGAGTGTGGAGACTTGGGTTTAAGGCCAGGCTTTGCTGTTGACTTTGCATAAGTCCTTGGTCAAATAAAACCTCACTTTATCTCAGTTCTGATTTGTACTGTGGTGCTTGTAACTGACCTATCTACCTACTTAGTTGCTCACAAAGTAGAGAAACAGTTATAAAATAAGTATTATCTCAGTTCTCACCAGACATTTATTCACCTACATTTTTTCAAAAAACAGTGTTGGTGTCTTGCTAATTCTTAGAAATTAAAATTTACATCCCTGTTAATCCTAGTTATGTGACTGGAGGCATTTTGGTAACTTTTTTGTTTTTGAATTGTGAGATGTACATTACTTTAAATATATTTTTATTGATTTCAGAGAGGAAGGGAGAGGGAGAGAGAGATAGAAGCATCAATGATGAGATAGAATCATTGATCAGCTGTCTCCTGCACACCCACTCTGGGAATCGATCCCGCAACCCAGGCATGTGCCCTTGACCGTAATCGAACCCGGGAACTTTCAGTGCGCAGGCCAACACTCTATCCACTGATCCAAAACAGGTGGGGCAGATGCACATTACTTTAAAAGTGAAAGATTTTAGTAATTTCCCAAGGAGCCAGAAAACAGTTCCTGGATAAGTTATTTTTTTTCAGGAAGTATATTGTAGCCTTAGAAACTTTTTTTTTTCTTTTTTAAATACATTTTTATTGATTTTAGAGAGGAAGGAAAGGGGGAGAGAGAGAAACATCAGTGATGAGAGGAATCATTGTTTGGCTGCCTCCTGCATGCCCCACCTGGGCATGTGCCCTGACCAGGAAGCAAACCGTGACCTCCTGGTTCATTGGTCGATGCTCAATCACTGAACCATGCTGGCTGGGCTCTAGGAAACGCTTTTGAATCTCTGCTCAGCACTGATCACTTGTATTAAGACTTTAACTTTATCTGGTTTACATTAATTTGCATCCATCTGCATTTATGCATGTAGTTTGCTGTATACTAATTTATATTTGAGTGTTTTTGTAAGTCATTTTATGTCTTTTACATGTGACCTGGTCTTGTTTTCTCAGCTAGCTTGAAATCTGAAGGGTAAAGACGATTGTCCTTTCCATTTCTTCACAACAGATTCATTCATAATAGAGATGCTCTGCATATAATGATTTCTTACTAGTTGAGTTTAGGTAGAACATTCCCTAGAACATAGTGAATCGGTCTAATTTTTAAAAAGTATGCATTTGCAGAAAATTTCAGTTCTACTGTATGCCTATTTAGAGTTAAAGACAAAAGACATAATCAAAACAGCAGCTATTCTGTTAATTAGATTTGGCCAAAAGAAATCTAGTACATCTTATTAAATAGCTTGATTATTTTTAATACTGTAATATTTTAGGGGAATGTGCTATTTCTGTTGTTAATATCCATTTTAACAAAAAAGGAATTATGCCATCTATAAAAGTTTTTATAGACGGCATAATTTTATAAAGCATCCCAGTTCTCATTTTTCATTAAATTAATTTATTAAATTATTGGTGAAATTTATTAAATTACTGTTGAAATTTCTCATGTAAACTTTGATATGGAGGAGACTATTATTGCAATAAAATTCCTAATTTATTTGGAAATATCTATATTTGAAAGCAAACTTCTTTACATTTGCTTTAATCATAGCTTTCTCTAATCAAAACAAGATAAAATTACATCTTTTATCGTTGCACTTAAAGAATTTGCTGAACATGATGTTTCTTCCAAATGAATGTTTGCATTTTATTTCCCAGGTTTTTTCTTCTAAAACCCAATTTTTGCTCCCTAAGGAATGTTTTTTCTTCTTCAGGAATGTCATTGTCTGCTGGGTCTTCCCCTCTTCATTCCCCCAAGATCACTCCACATACTTCTCCTGCTCCCAGAAGAAGAAGTCACACTCCAAATCCAGCAAATTACATGGTGCCTTCTAGTGCCTCTACACCTGTTAATAATCCTGTTTCTCAGACACCGTCCTCTGGTCAGCTGATTCAAAAGGAAACTGTCGGCGGGACGACATACTTCTATACAGACACAGCTCCAGCCCCTTTGACTGGAATGGTATGTCTGCATTAAAGGGAAGTGATAGTTCCTTCTAATTGATGAGATTCATGAGGAGGTTTCCTCTTGCATGTTTTTATTTTGATGTGAAGAAGTATTTAATTTTCTAACTTAGATGGTAATTCTAATATCTTTTCAAAGTAAACTGTTTTTGTATTAGTAAGAACTCTAGTTTTGGACAAATCTGGTTTTAATTAAAAATTAGATTATTTTCAAGCTCTAGTTTAGTAGTTTATGGCATGCTTTGTTTATAGGGTTACCTAGTACTTCTGTTAGTTAGAGTTGATGTTTGCTGACATTTGTTTATAGGTAGTTTTACCCCTCGTAAGAAGCTAGAGAAAGATGATTTTTTAAATCAGTACTTATTGAAAGCAAACTGATGATGAAACTCTTGCCTTATGTGAGGCAGCGATTTAATTGCTAGACCTCTGGATAGTGGAGGACACAGAGAAAAGAAGCCTCCTATATGGGTCATTCATAGTTAAGGATTGGGGAGGCTTAGGGAGCCCTGATTATGGACTAGGAAAGAACTGACAAAGGACTCTCAGTAGAAGGAGGGGGAGGGGAGAAAAAATGCATTGTAATGTTCCATAAATTGTACTTTTTTTGTTGTTGTTATTAAGGGAAATAGGATCACTTTTACGTTGTGAGACCAATTAAGTTTTTTAAAAAATAGGTTTTTATTGATTTTTTAGGGATAGAGGAAGGTGAGTACAAGAGAGAGGGAAACATCAATGTGAGAGAGAAACATTCGTAAGCTGCCTCCTGCATGGCCCCACACCTAGAATTGAGTCCACAACCTGGGCATGTGCCCTGACTGGAAATTGAACTGGTGACCTATCAGTGCATGGGATGACTCTCAACCAACTGAGCCATGCCAGTCAGGGCAGATTGTACCTTTTTAGCCTCATTATTTTGTTCCTGTTCAAAAATTATTTTTTTAACTATAGAAAAATAAGTAGTGATGCTCTCCCTCATGAGAGCACGCCCAAGCCTTTTCCTTCCCCTACCCCCTCTACCTCCCCCCCCCCCAAAAAAATAGCGATGAAGAGCTCATGAGTAAAAAAGCCAAATTCCATTAAAATATGAAAACTGACATTTGACATGTTCATAGATGAGAAGCTTAGATGAAAAGTAGCCCTGACCAGTATGCTAATTGGTTAGAGCGTCAGCCTACACACTGACTGGAGGGTCTCCGTTTCCATTCCTGGTCAAGGACACATACCTGGATTGTAGGTTCAATCCCTAGCCCTGGTTGGGGTGCATGCAGGAGACAATCAACCGATGGTACTCTCTCACATCTCTCTCTCTCTCTCTCTCTCCCTCCCTCCATCCCTCCCTCTCTCTCTATCTCCCTCTCTTTCTCCCCCTCTCTCCCCCCCTTCCCTACTTCCTACAATCTCTGAAAATCAATAGAAAAAAATACCCTCAGGTGAGGATTAAAAAAGAAAAGTACAGTTGGAATTTAGTAAGCAGGCAGATTTTGATCCTACATATTAAATTAATGCTCTATTTTGATTAAATTTAACATTTTACTAAAACCCAATTTGAGTAGAAAGACAATAGATTTTTTTGTTACTTATATATAAGAGTCCCATTTCTGCCATTGTTTTGTGACTCTTGAATCTTAGTACCACTGAGATTGTTTCCCCAGTTGTACATTGGGATAATAACACCTAACCATCTTATGAGAAATAAATGTGAAAACATTTATAGAAGTACTTGTAAATCATGCAAAATGCTTTTTAAAGAAATAATGAAATAGCTAATAGTTTTTATTTTGTTTTGTTTTTGGTCAGAGATCTTTCAAAAATTATCACAGAACAGCTTGCCGAACAGAAGGTCAAATAATTGAGGTAGAGTAGAGACTTTCCTTGGTTCTTTCAAGTAAGAATTCCATTAATGTTTTACCTTTTTGGGGTTTATTATATTTTATAATTATTTATATTTTTATTATATTTTATTATTGTATTTGTAGAAAGAAGTTTAATTTATAAAGAGGTTCTTTTGTCACAAAACTGTCTCACTTGGTTTTGTAGAGATTATATATGGCACATTTTTATTGTTTATATCCTTCAAACTACTTTTAAAAATATGCTCACGGTAAACCTGAGATAGTTAAGTGAAACTATGCTAGCTGATGTAAGAAAACCAAGGCAGAAAAAAAGGAATTTTCTCTCTGTAGATACTGGTTAAAGGAAACCTTATAAGTATTGCAAAATCACTTCCTGGTTGAGATCCCTAACAATAATTATCTGAGAGGAACAGAAATCAGCTGAATTAATTTTTAAGAGACAACAATGTTTGTTTCAACTTTTAAAATGAAAGAATAAAGCAAAAACAATTTTAGAATATCTATTGATTTTGTTTCATGGGCCAGTGAAGGGAAGGAGAGTCAGAGGAAAAAGAGAAAAAAGCAGGGTGGTGGGGAGAGTCCAATTGGAAGAATGAAAGAGGGGAACCTGAAAGCAGATTTAGTAACTTTGTTGTAGTTTGCTTGGAATATAAGTACACTGTTGCACCCTTCTGCTAGTAAATTGTTCTTCTTTACTTTTGCAGTTTGAAGTGTTTAACAAGTATTTAGGTAACACTTTGTTTAGGTTGGCCACAAAAAGCCCATAATAGGGCAGTTCCTTGGGCCACCAGGGCAGTGTTACTTCATTATCTGACTGTGCCCTATCACCTTTAATATCTGCTTCCTTCCTTTCTTCCAATTGCTTTTAAAAATACGTACAAAATGCTTGTGTAACATTTCATTCAAAGAGCTACTTTTGCCTATCATTGGAGCTTAAATTTTACGATATATGAAGAAATGTTTCTCATTAGAGTTTTCAAGTTGATTATTATATACTAGAGGCCTGATGCACGAAAAGCCCTGGCTGCCTCGGCCCTCGCAGCCCCGGCTTGGTCCTGCAAGGTCGTCCGGACAGTTGCCTGAAAGGTCATCTGGATGGTCATTCTGCTGTTCAGTCTAATTAGCATATTAGCTCTTTATTATATAAGATAAGGTGACTTTTTAAATTAACTCAGAAAATATACTGATAAGTTATTCTCTGAGGTGTTTAATTCACTATCATTTAAAGATTTAAAATATATCAATTTATCACTGTCATTTAAAGATGAAAACTTTATCAAAACAATGATAATAAACCTTATCAATTGAGAAAAATTGATTGTTACATTTTCTTCCTCCCTACCTTTTTAGGTTTTTCCAAACTATCATATTTATCCTCCAACTGCACCTCATGTTGCTTATATGCAACCAAAAGCAAATGCACCTTCATTCTTCATGGCCGATGAGCTCCGACAGGTACGCATTCAGAATTCCTAGTAGGGATGCTTGATATCTAGTGTGCTTTTAGCAAAGAACTGAAGAAACAATAGAACTGTTTTCAAATCATGTTATTTAATCAAATATGCTGTACTAAACCAGATAGAGAGAATTTAGAATTTATGAGTTCTAAGTGACATTTAAGGAAAGCTGTTTTTCAATAAAAAAAAACACGGTTAATTATTATGTTCATAGAGTAAAACATAGAATAGCTATTTAAATGAGCCACCTTCTGCACGTCATATCCTGTGCATTCAGATGTCTCTCGGAAATATATAAATTATTTAAATTGTTTCTAACTTTGAGACAATGTTTGGCTAATATTTATAGGTTCAGACTAGGTAGGATAACCCAGAAATAAATCTCACATTAAGAGAGCTCAATCCTTTCTATAAAGTAGGTTTTATAAAATAACTTTTTGCTAGATAGCTAGGTATTATTTGATATGTTGAATTTCATTTTACACTTATATTCTCAAAAATATTTTTGTTTCATAGAAGTATGTTGTACCTGTATAATGTTCATAGAGTGAATTATTGACAAGCTTAGCATAGAACTTGAGTTTTCAGCTACCGATATAGTTATATGCTTTGAGTTATAGCATAGTTACTGGAACTCAACCTTAATTGGGGCAGGTATATCTAGGACTAGAATTTTTATGCCATTATTGGAAATGTTATTTCATGATGTCAATATTAAAAAGCACACATACCAAAAATTTTATTACTTGTGTTATTTATTTATAGTAGTAAATCCAGATTTCAGAAGCTTTGTTTAGATGTAAATATACTTGTTTTCTTTTTTTAGGAGCTCATTAACAGACATTTAATAACAATGGCTCAAATTGATCAAGCAGATATGCCAGGTAAAATTTGAGTGGATTCATTCTTCCTTTTAAAGAATATTATAATTCTTATATAATCCTACATGTTTGTATGTCTTACTACCTAATTACTATTTTATGAATATATTAGAGGCCCCATGCATGAAATTTGTGCACTGGTGGGGGGGGGGGTTGAGGGGGTCCCTCAGCCCAGCCTGTGCTGTCTTGCAGTCCGGGAGCCCTCGGGTGATGTCCGATCGATGGCTTAGGCCTTCAGGAAGCAGGCCTAAGCCATCAGTCGGACATCCTTAGCACTGTAGCAGAGGCAGGAGAGGTTCCTGCCACCACTGCTGCGCTCGCCAGCTGTGATGACTAAGTGGTGCTCCCCCTGTGGGAGTGCACTGACCACCAGAGGGCAGTTCCTGCGTTAAGTGTCTGCCCTCTGGTGGTCAGTGCACGTCATAGCGACCCATTGTTCTGCCCTTCAGTCGATTTGCATATTAGCCTTTTATTATATAGGATTTATTTCAAATCCACTTAAGAAGTATTCCAGCATATCACAGATCATCTGGTTTATTTAAATTGATTCTACATGTGACAGTATTCTAGTTCACAAAAAAAATTAGAATTCATGGTGATTTACCTTACTATATTTTAGTATATTATTGTATTTTGATATTTGATAAAGTATAGGCTCTTAAGCAGAGGGGAAAGGTGTTTATTATTGAGACTACAGTATGCTAGGCAGTGTGATGATTAAATGCTTTTTCTTATAAAAATGCTGTGACATAGATACTAATATTATCTCCATTAAAACATGTTTTTTGAATAGTGTATTGATTTTTAGAGAGCAAGGGGGAGGGGGGAGAGAGAGAGAGAGAGAGAGAGAGAGAGAGAGAGAGAGAGAGAGAGAGAAAGAAACACATCAGTGTGAGAGCATAACATTGATTGGCTGCCTCCTGCATGCCCCCTACCGGGGATTGAGCCTGCAACCTGGGCATGTGCCCTGATCGGAAATTGAACTGGCAACATTTTGGTGCACGGGACGACGCCCAACCAACTAAGCCACACTGGCCAGGGCTATAATCTCCATTTTACATATGAGAAAAATTGAAGTTGACAGGCATGTTCAGTAACTTGCCTTTAAGACCAGTGGCTAGTAATTGGCTGGCTGAGTCAGGATTTAAACCTAGGTTTTTCTGACTGTATCACAGTGTTTCTAAGAGAGCCATTAAAATCTCTTTCCGTAGCGTATTCTGTTTATAGCAAGATTAAATATGGTATGGTTTAAAAAAACTTTACAAATAGTACAGTAGGAATACATTTGCCACAGAGATAATCTTGAAATACCTGGTTGTTACCAAGGATTTAGTCTTGACTATGGGTCTTCTTGACTGCTAGAGAATTAAAAGGAATGTGTCTAGCTGTTATGTCTTTTTTTTTTTTTAATATATTTTATTGATTTTTTACAGAGAAGAAGGGAGAGGGATAGAGAGCTAGAAACATCGATGAGAGAGATCGATCAGCTGCCTCCTGCAGGCCCCCCAGTGGGGATGTGCCCGCAACCAAGGTACATGCCCTTGACCAGAATCGAACCCGGGACCCTTGAGTCCGCAGGCCAAGGCTCTATCCACTGAGCCAAACCGGTTCGGCATAGCTGTTATGTCTTAAGACTGATCTTTCCAGTTTAGATGGGCAAGGAACTTACCTGTCATAACCTTTGAAGTGGTTCAGGTAAGGATTTTCTTTAATTATTTAGCATTGTCTTTGAGGCCCTAGTTTGGGTAAAAGGGAAAAAGAAAAATAGGATTACTCCAGTCATATGTAAATCATATGATGATGCATTTGATGTAATTTGAAAATTATAATAGAGTTTAGGAAATAGCTGTATATAAGATTAATACATGTCAGTTGCATTTCTATAGACTTGTAGCCACTAACTTCAAAATATAACTACAAGATAAAATGCTATTTGCAAGGATTTTAGAATATCAGTTCCTATGAGTAAATACAATCAAAGATGTGTAAGTTCTCATTGGGGGAGATTTATGAAGATGTATTAAATAAGATAAATAAATCAAGTTATGAAATGCTTTATTCATGAGTAGGAATACAAAATGACTTAGATGTCAATTTTTCTAAAGTGACCCATAGATTGGATATAATACCAGTCAAAGAATACAAACTTGCCCGGCTGTGTGGCTCAGTGTTGAGTGTCAACTCATGCACCAAGATTCCTGGTCAGGGCACATGCCCACGTTGCAGGCTCAGTCCCTGGTAAGGGGCATGCAGAAGGCAGCTGATCGATGTTTCTCTCATCAATGCTTATATCTCTGTCCCTCTCCCTTTCTCTCTCTATAAAAAAGAATCAGTAATTTTTTTTTTAAAAAAAGCTTAAGAGGTTTTTAAACTCAAAAATACTTCTGATATCTAATTTGTGTCCTAACAATTTAATTGTTAGGGTTCAGTCCCACAAGATCATTCCAGGTGAAATGGGGTACCCACGCTACCTACACTTCTGTCTGGCCAACTACAAATGTGGGGCATTTTCACCACCCCCCTCAGAACAAGCCGAGTGGAAGAGATGTATAGGGCAAGGTATTTGTAGAGGTGGAGTGGGGAACTGCCATGCCCTCTCTGAGTGTGCCATTCTTCCAGCACTTCAGTGTATTCACCAATTTGTAAGCTCTCTGAATCTTGCTATTTAGGAGTTTTTAAAGAAAATTTTATTTTGTATGAATGATTGGTTAAATCTTTGGCTATTGGTAATAACTCAATCTCCAACCCCCTTCTCCCTCTCTGGACTTTGAAGGGAGAGTAGGTGTTGAAAGTTCCAAATTCTAATCAAAGTTGATATTTATCTATCTATCTATCTATCTATCATCTATCTTTCTGTCTATTATATTACAGCATAATAGAGCTTTTCATACCATATGATAACATTCACCAAAGAGAAAAGGGCCAAGACACTTTGAAGATTATGATTAGGAATCTGGGTGTATTGGGGGAGGGGAAGCTTAGTTTGCCACTGTGGTAACTAACAATATGGTAATGGCACTGGGTTTGACAAATTGATTAATGAAACAGACTAGGGAGAGCCCAGGCCCATTCTATGATAGTGGTGACATATAAGTGGGGAAAGGAAGGCAAAAATGGTTGTCTCATGGTAAAAGATAAAATTGGATTACCTCAAATCTCATAAAAAAATCAACTCCAAGGGTTGCAGGTTCCCCATGCCAGTTGGGGTATGTGCAGGAGGCAACTGGTTGATGTGGCTCTCACATCAGTGTTTCTCCCTCCTCCTTTCCACTCTCCCTAAAATCAGTGGAAGAAATATCCTCTAGAGGGGATTAACAACAACAATAAAAAAAACAGCCTTGGAAGAACGTATATTACACAATTGACAAAGAATATAAACACACAAATCAGTAAGAGCCTAAATAATCCAATAAAATAAATGACCAAATGATGGGAATAGGCAATTCAAGAAAGTAGAAATTCATGACTGAAAAATATAAGAACAGATACCGAACATCACTGATGATTAGGTAAATACAAATAAAATACCGTTTTGAAGTCTGATCAGGTAAAGTATGAGGATTTGAATCCATAGGTTCTTCAGTACATTGCTATTGGTAGTGTAATGGTAAACTTGTTACCACTTTGGGAAACGAAAGTTGAGTATCTGTCACTGAAGATCCAGCTATTCTGCTCCTAGATATAGGAACACCTCTATACATTTTCAACCAGAAAATGTATAAAGTATCCATAACATTGCTGCTCACAGTAGCAGAAACCTTGATTAATTCAAATGCCCATTTGAAGGACAAGGGATGAATTAACTGAGATAGTGTCAGACAGTAGAATATTATACAGCAGTTAAAATGAAGAAAGTATGCTGACATGCAGCAGTACAAAACAATGTGGGTGGTTTTTTTCCTTTATTGATTTTTAGAGAGATAGAAACATCAATGATGAGAGAGAATCATTGATTGGCTGCCTCCTGCACATCCCCTACTGGAGATCGAGCCCACAAGCTGGGCGTGTGCCCTGACTGGAAATCAAACCAGTGACCTCTTGGTTCCTGGGTCGACTTTCAACCTCTGAGCCACACCAGCTGGGCAAATGTGTGTGTTTTTTAATCTTCACCCAAGGATATGCTTTTATTAATTTTTAGAGAAAGAGGGAAAGAGGAAGAGAGAGGAGACTGGAAGGCAGGAAAGAGGAACAGCAATGTGAGAGTGAAACATCAGTTGGTTGCCTTCCATACTCACCGCGATGGGGGATCAAACCCACAACCTAGGTATGTACCCTTTTGATGCATGGAACAACACTCCAACCGAGCCACCTGGCCAGTCCAGAAGAAACCTTGTAATGTAATATTAAGTAAAAAATGTGAGTTGCAAGAGATTATATACAGTATGATAGCTTTTTATAAAGTTAACTAAAGTGTGTATGTGTACTTGCATTTATGTAAGTACATGTGTATATCATATACATGTATAAACATATACATGCATACATAATAAACTTGTGAGCAATACATAAAGGTGTAATAAAAAAGGGGCCCAGTTAGTGTGGCTCAGTGGTTGAGACAGACCCATGAACCAGGAGGTCACTGGTTCTGTGCCTGGTTGGGGCACATGCCTGGGTTGCAGGCTTATTTCCAGTAGGGGGCGTGCTCGAAGCGGCTCATAGATGTTTCTCTCTCATCGATGTTTCTATTTCTCTATTCTTCCTTCTGCTCTATAATCAGTAAAACATATTTTTTAAAACAAACTATAAAAAGGGAAGGAAGAGGAAGAGAAGGAAGGCAAAAGTTGGTAGAGATAATCATTTAGATGTAAATTAAAGTCAAGGTCTGTGCTTTTTTTCTGTGTGCCATGTTTGTAGATGCTTATTATATTAAGAACTAGAGGCCTGATGCATGAAAATTTATGCAAGAGTAGGCCTGCCTTCCCCCGGCTGCTGGCACTGGCCTCCCTCCAGCACCCAGGACCTGGGCTTTGCTACGGCCACTGGCAGGCACCTGGGACCCAGGC